AGTTCGAGTGCTCTTACACAACCACTACTAACAACACCGACTTGTATGATGCTGTGGATGAGGACGAAGTCCAGGAAACATCAGCAGTATGTATTGTCTTGTCTAACTTTACTGTTTTCTCACCATTGTTTTAACCAGTGAAAATCTCATAACATCTTTGACGAACTTCCAGCATTAGCAGCACCCAAGCAGTCAGAGCTCCGTGATGAGCTTGATTCATACCTCAGCACAGATCTGGAATATGTTGCTGATGTCTTAGCTTGGTGGACCAAACAGAAGGCAATGTATCCTTGACTCTCCCAAATGGCCTTAGATTATCTGTCAATTCCTGGTGAGTTTTTTTATCAGCCTCGCGTCCGTTGGCAACTCATCTCGCTCGTATATGTAGCGATGTCAGTTGATGTAGAGCGAATTTTAGCCACGGCCACCTCTTGTTATCTCATGTCTGCAGTTGCCTATCTGCCCAGTCTGTCCGCGCATTGCTTTGCTTAGGTTCCTGGAGTCTTTTAGGGTTGGTCAAAGACCAAGATGTTATGGCTGTTGCTGTGATGCCCGAGGGTAGTTGGTGAAGAGAACGAGCTTGACGACAGATGGATTCGATTTGATTGTAGTTCTTATTATGAGCCATTTACATGTATATACTTAGTACCCATAGTACACCTGAATACCCATGGACCCATACCCAAACCCATACCCAACAACACAGGTCTAGTTCCACACAGGTATGGGTGCGGGTACAGCACGGAATACCCGTGGGTTACCCATGCTATTGCCTAGGAAGAGGGTATCAATAGGAGGGAGAATGGGAGTAAAATGAAGTTTTTCATATGAAGCCATATATTTTTTGTAAGATGAGTCATTGGTAGAAGGAGGATCATCAAAGAGGAAGAGTGGGCTTACCTGAGTTGACAGTGATGTAGTGACTTCTGGAGTATCACCCCCAGTAGTGGTGGTCATATGCTGCATGATTTTGTGGGGCAGCAGCTCATCAGCTTCACTGTCGGAGATGACAATGGTGTCATCATCTGCTTTGCGCTTCCTCATAGCTTGCGGCTGAGCGTCTGTTCCAATGCTGGAAACTGAGGTGGCATGAGGGTGCACCAGCAATGGCTCAGCCTGTGCCTCGGGCATAGAGAGGAGCCGTGGGTCGATGTCGAATTCTTCAAGGATTTCAGCCCTTGTTGACTGCAGGACAAGGTCCACTGCATCACCATCATCGCTGAGCACCTTGAGCAGCTTGTTTTCGGACATGTTGAGATTGATCGGTAAGTCTTCAGCCTGACATCCAGTAGCCCGCCAAATGTGGATGCAAAGCTCGATTCGATGAGCCCAAAGTGCTCATTTGACGGCACATCTTGGAGCTCTGGTAGGCAGCATGCACTAATGGTCTTCTCCTTGAGTTGGAGATAGTTGAAGAGCTTTGCGATTCCGTCCATGAGGTGTACATGGTGCGAGCTGTGGGTGGATGAAAGGAAGCCTGACTTTGTTGCCCTTGAGAAGGTAGACGCAAATGTTTCAGCAAAGGACGAAGTCATGGCAAAGCCCTGTGAAGGTTACAATCCCACTGGTGTGCACTCACTGAAGTGAGTTCCAACCTTTGTGGGAACCCTCCACACGACTTCCATCCATCCGGATGTCTTGCTGTGGACGCTCGAGGCACCCTTTATGCACGTGCTTAAGCTGCTCTTCATGAACCTATTAATTTGGTCAGTGTTTTGAAATGGGCTTTATATTTTGCAAGGACTTACCTTGCATGCCCCTGCTGACCATAGCATACCTTTGTGTGACCATTTCTCAAATATGGAGGTGAGTCTTGTCTCTTGCTCATGTCAGTCCCAATACTCTGCTGGGCTCCCTCCTTCAGCATGCTTCTTCAGTATGCATGCAGAGACCTCCGTAATGACTTCCTTCTGGTGAGGGTTCTTTGAAGGATTGAGAATTACAGTCGCATATCTTGTTGTGAGGATTAGATTAGCTCAGAGAATAATGTACTAGTAGCACTCACCTCATAATAAAATGCCACACGTCCAGTTTCATGGTAGCGCTAGGGAAAATGACAGCAACTGCACTGTGCACATGGCAACAATTGTCGGCAAAGATTTCTGGTGGAGGGATATCGAGTGCACCACAGCGCGCCTTGAGGCCTTGAAGGAGTTCACTTATCTCAGTGTTTGACTGGCCATGACAGAATCGCTAGTAATATTAAGTCAGATGCTGTCATATCCTGTATCCCAGACCTACATCCGATAATATTCCCATGCCTCATCCGGACCTCTGGATGTCTTATCCATGTCTCCAGTTGTCACGAGTACCTTTAACAAACCATTATTCTTTCCTGAATCTTCCTAAGTGTCAATACACAGCACCTAAGTCAAACCCTAACCCTATTCTAAAAATGTCTATCATTCCCGAAATACCTTTAGCGCCTACGACACGTGTCTTCGATGTGACTGATGAAGAAGACGAGTTCTTTGATTGTGAATAGATTAGATTAGATACGATAAGATAAGATATGATCATGTGATGCTTCTTTAATATTCTACGATGTTCTATGGTACGATTCCCGTTCTCTTTTTATGATTGGCTAGTAGTTGTAACTCAGTTTCAATCTCCGTCTCAATAGTTGTATATAGGTAGCATGTTTTGGTCGATAGTTCCTTAGTTCAAACCTCTTGTATCTACACTGTAGCAATCCAAGACGTACTTGCTCATCGTTCTCCTCTGTCCGATAACCTTCGTTTGAGTCCTAGTCTCTGCCCAGCATTAATTCGTTATTGGGTTGTGACATTAGGTTTGAACTATAGGAGACTCCGACTCTTTGCACACCGCTCGCACATCTCTCATCATCATCACACGTTTTCCATTGCCCGGCCTAAACAGCCGCGATCACATTTTCTGAAACCCATCCTTTTGCTCGCTTGAGCTTTTTATGAAATAGTCTTTTGTAGTTAGTAGTCCTATACCAGGCCCTGCCTTACATTGCAGCCGCCAGTATACGGAGGTGTTGACGACATTAGGCGTCTCGCTACAACTTGAGTGCTGGCCCAAGACCCTGCCTGCTCAACGTTACTATAGTTTCTTTCATACCTACATCTTTCTTCATACGCACGTAGAACCTTTCGTTAAGTCTAGTGGAACTGTCGCATCTGCGGATAGTCCTACCATCGTTACCACGAGGATTTAGATATGGGATTCTAGTGAGACTCGCACTTGTAAGCTTCGGCTGGAAGAGTGATAACTTGTCCTAGACCTGTACCCTTTCGGTAATTGAGAAGTAGCACACACGAAGCACACAGTGTTTTTCCCACTTAACAAAGGCATAGTTTTACGTACACCTTCTTAGTTAGTAATTAGGGAAGTGTCAGTCAGGTTGATTAAAGAACCCTTTGACCCTAAAGGACGAGGTTGATCCAGTTAGTACTGGGGACCCCTTTAGCTTTCCATTTACGTATCCTTTTTCCCTCTCCCCTTTCATCATTTTTCCTATCCGGAAGAGCCGTTACGACCCGCTCTTCAACAGTCATTAGTGAATCGGATTCCAGAACGCACCTGGCACTATGGCTGAAGTTAACGAAACAGAAATGGGACCCGAGAACCCTCAAGAACCCCAAGAACAAGGGCCTCAGGGACCACAACCACAAGGCATAGCTATGCCAGTGGAGTTCACCAACTATGTACAGAATGCCATCACCATGGCAACACATGAACTGTATGTAAGGACACAAGAACTCCTTAACCACAACAACACGCTTCGAGCACAGAATGCAACACAAGAACTTCAACTCAGGACCCAAAACTCACAGATAGAGGAACTGAAGAAGAAGCTAGAGAGATTCGCTCAAAGCCCAAATACTTCGCAAGTCAAATTGTCGAAGCCCACAGAATTCACTGGAGACAAAGATTCGATCTCCATAGAAGTCTACACGACTCAGTTGGCACTATACATGTCACAATGGCCACTGATCACAGACAGGCAGAAGATTACAACTGCCCTGTCTTTCCTTAAAGGATCTGCTGCTAAATGGGCGCAGAAATACGTAATTGAGCTTGATTCCAAGCCAATATCCTTTGAGGACTGGACGAAAGAATTCGAAACCATGTGGGGCCAAGACGACAGAGAAGGAAAGGCTATCAGGGAGTTGGAAACCCTGAAGCAAGGATCTTCATCAGTGCCCGAATACGCAGCAGCTTTCAAGCAGAAGGCTGCACTTACCAAATACTCCGACTACGACCTCCGCCTTAAATTCCGATCTGGCCTACAAACCCGGATCAAGGAGCAACTCGCTCATATTCCAGCATCTGAGAAAGACACCCTCAGAAGCTCATTGATTACTCCATACAGATTGGACGTAACTACGAGGAGCTAGACGCTGAGAAAAAGAAGAGTAATTGGTGGACCCCTAACAAGGAAACCCCAAGAACCTTCAATAACCCAAGGCAGGCTGGTCCTAGCAAAGACAGTGACGCTATGGATGTGGACTCCGGCAAGCAGAGGGGATCTCCCAAACCCCAAGGAAAGCCTGGCGCTTTCACCTGCTACCGCTGTGGAGAACAAGGCCATATAGCGAGAAACTGTAAAGGTGCGCCAAAAGCGCAAGTCAAAGCGGCTGCTAGTTGTCGAAGAAAACTCCGCGCCGAAGTGGTTCACAGATTGGATCGCTTCTAACAAAGGCAAGGATTTTTAAAGGGGTTGAAGTCAAAGTCTGCAGACCTAGACCCGAACAATCGTTTCTCTATTCTTTCTACGTTTCAAGATGTATCAGAAGTACATATTAGATCCAAATCTGAGCATTTTTATATTCCGAATAACGTTGAAAGGAAAGAACCGACAAGCAGACGTAAAAGCACTTGTGGATTGCGGTGCATCAACATTATTTATCAGTGAGAAGTTTGTTGAGAAGAACAGTGTGAAATGCCGTAAATTATTAAGGCCTATTTCAGTCAGGAACATTGATGGATCGCTAAATGCCGCTGGATCAATGACTCATTTTGCAGAACTAGGTCTAAAGATTGGTGATCATGAAGAAGAGAAAGCAGCCTTCATGGTTACAGACTTAGGAAGCGATGATGTTATTATCGGCATAGATTGGCTGAGATATCATAATCCAGAGATTGACTGGAATGCAGGACGATTTGCACTTTCTCGATGCCCTGTAAAATGTGAAACTAAAAAAGAAAGAAGACAAAAAAAGAAAGAAAAGAAAAAAGAACAAAAAAAGATAGATGATGTACCTGATCTGATTCCTACGGACGATGAAGACGAGGATGAAGAAGATATGTCAATGAAGAGGGCGACGGTTGAGGAAATAGAAGACGAAGAGAGTCCAGAGAGACTATGGATTCGTTATAAAGCCTCGGTTGCCACGGAGCAGAAAGTAGCAGAAGAAGCTACTAAGAAGAAGCAGTCGGTAGAAGAAATGGTACCTGACTGGCTTCATGATTACCTGGGAGTTTTCTCAGAAGAAGAATCTAAGCGCTTCCCTGAAAGAAAGAAGTGGGATCATGCGATAGATCTTAAAGATGAGGGCGATCTTCCGCCAAATGCGAAACCTTATCCGTTATCACCCAAAGAGATGGATACATTGAAGGAATGGTTGAAAACCGAGACTGCACTAGGACGAATAAGAAATTCACAATCTCCAGTAGCAGCACCTTTCTTCTTTGTGGCCAAAAAAGATGGCAAGTTAAGACCGGTAATGGACTATAGAAAGCTCAATGAGAAAACGGTGAAAAATGCATATCCGCTACCGAGATCTCAAGATTTAATTGATGCTTTAACCGGTGCCACGATGTACTCCAAGATGGATGTACGATGGGGATACAATAATATTCGCATGAAAGAAGGAGATGAGTGGAAGGCGGCCTTCAAAACGCCGTTTGGTCACCACGAACCGACCGTGATGTATTTTGGACTCACGAACTCCCCTGCAACTTTCCAAACAATGATGAATGAAATTCTGAGAGACCTAATAGATGGCAAAACAGTAGTCGTCTACATCGATGATATAATGGTCTTTACGAATGGAAATAGGGAGCAACACCGAAAGGTGGTACGAGAAGTCCTGAAACGGTTAAAGGAGAATGACCTGTTCTTGAAGCCTGAGAAATGTAGCTTCGAACAGTCTAAAGTCGAGTTCCTCGGGTTGATCGTGGAAGAAGGCAATGTGTCGATGGACCCTGTGAAAGTAGAAGGAGTATTGAAATGGCCTGTTCCCAAATGCGTAAAAGATATCCAAGCATTCATGGGCTTTGCCAACTTCTATCGAAGATTCATACTTGGGTTCTCAGATATAGCCAGACCAATGAATGATCTGCTAAGAAAAGATGTCAAATGGGACTGGACGGAGAAACAACAGAAAGCTTTTGATGAACTTAAGAAACGTTTCACAGAAGCTCCCGTTCTAGTCATGCCAGATGTTGAGAAGAAAAAGAAAATAGAGACCGATGCTTCAGATTACGCAACAGGAGCGGTTCTCTCTCAACTTATGGAAGATGGATTATGGCATCCAGTAGCATATTACTCTAAGTCAATGAATGATGCGGAAAGAAATTACGACATTCATGATAAAGAGTTATTAGCGATCATTAGAGCGTTGGAAGAGTGGAGGCACTATGTGCAGGGAGCACCTCACCCGGTTGAAATATGGACAGATCATAAGAACCTTGAATATTTCATGACGAGTCAAAAGTTGACCAGAAGGCAAGCTAGATGGAGTCTTTTCCTAGCGGAGTATGAATTTACACTCCAACACAAGCCTGGTGTGGTTAATGACAAAGCAGACCGTCTTTCTCGGAGATCAGACCATAGAGGGGGGGTAGAAAACGATAACTCAGATCGCATCCTTTTGAAACCAGAATTCTTTACCGTAAAAGCTGCTAAAAGAGGTCAAGTTTTGGTGCATGGAGAAAAACATTTACTCCAAAAGATACGAAAATGCACAGAACGAGAACCCTGAAGTCGCTAAAGCAGTTAGAAACGTTAAAAGCAGCACCGGTTCAATTGCGTAGAGGAATCGAAGAGTGGAATGTGGAGGATGGATTGGTGTTATTCCGAGGATTAGTTTACGTTCCAAATGACAAAGAGATCCGCCGAGAGATATTGGAGTTGTTTCACGACTCTCCACCGGCTGGACATCCTGGACGAGCTAAAACCTTAGAATTGATTTCCAGAAACTATTGGTGGCCTTCAATGACGAAGTATGTCCACGATTACGTAGATGGTTGCGATAGGTGCAAACAAACGAAAGTGCTTCCGAGTAGACCAACGGGGCCTTTACAGCCAAATGAAGTTCCAGAAGGACCTTGGCAGACAATCACCTGTGACCTGATAGTGGATTTGCCGAAGAGTGAAGGGTGTGATAGCATTTTTGTAGTCGTTGATCGATTTTCGAAACAAGCACACTTCATTCCCACCACCAAAGACGTAGACTCGAAGGGTATTTCCGAGCTATTTCTGAAAAATGTATGGAAACATCATGGAACACCGAAGAAAGTGATTTCAGATAGAGGAACTCAGTTCATATCGAAGTTCATGGGACAAATGTCAAAAAGATTAGGAACGAAATGGTCTGCGTCGACCTCCTATCATCCCAGAACCGATGGACAGACTGAACGCGTAAACCAAGAAGTCGAACAATACTTGCGCATGTTCACGTCATATAGACAGAATGATTGGGTATCTTGGCTGCCGATAGCAGAGTTTTCACACAACAATGCAGTCACAGTAACCGGTCATAGTCCCGTTTAAAGTTCTCTACGGGTATAACCCAGATTTCACGATTCATCCAAACTCTATGTCCGTAATCCCCGCCGCCGATGAGAGAGTTGATCAGATGAAAGAAGCGAGAGATGATGCCGAAAATACTCTTAAGATGGTCAATGAGCGCATGAAGCGTTTCTATGACAAAGGAGTAAAAGAAGCACCTCAGTATAAGATAGGAGACAAGGTCTGGCTTGACGCAAAGAATCTTAAACAACGTCGTCCAAGTCAAAAACTGTCAGATCGTCGTCTAGGTCCCTTCGAAATACTAGAGAAGATCGGTGAAGTGAACTACAAGTTGAAATTGCCGGAAAAATATCAGATTCACCCGGTTTTCCACGTAGAATTGCTTATGCCACATCACGCATCTCGATTAATTCCTCATCCTCCTCCCAACCGACCACCTCCAGAATTGATTGACGATCGGGAAGAATTTGCTGTAGAAGAAGTACTAGATAGCCGATTGTTCCGAGGAAAGCTGCAATACCTAGTAAAATGGGAAGGATACCCGAAAGAAGAGTCATCTTGGGAGCCAGAAGAGAATTTGAAGAACGCCCCAATTCCTTTAGCAGAAGTTCCATAAGAAGAATCCCATGGCTGCAGCCGGAAAATACCGAAGAATCAAAGGCTCAGTACTGTTTACGGAAGATTTCAAATGATGGAGAGAAAAGAATATCCGACCTTCATTCGTTCATGATGACACTCACCTTAGAGAGGGGGTAATGTCACGAGTACCTTTAACAAAACATTATTCTTTCCTGAATCTTCCTAAGTGTCAATACACAGCGCCTAAGTCAAACCCTAACCCTATTCTAAAACGTCTATCATTCCCGAAATACCTTTAGCGCCTACGACACGTGTCTTTGATGTGACTGATGAAGAAGATGAGTTCTTTGATTGTGAATAGATTAGATTAGATACGATAAGATAAGATATGATCATGTGATGCTTCTTTAATATTCTATGATGTTCTATGGTACGATTCCCATTCTCTTTTTATGATTGGCTAGTAGTTGTAACTCAGTTTCAATCTCCGTCTCAATAGTTGTATATAGGTAGCATGTTTTGGTCGATAGTTCCTTAGTTCAAACCTCTTGTATCTACACTGTAGCAATCCAAGACGTACTTGCTCATCGTTCTCCTCTGTCCGATAACCTTCGTTTGAGTCCTAGTCTCTGCCCAGCGTTAATTCGTTATTGGGTTGTGACACCAGTCCTCTACCCATCCAGATCCCTGCACCTCTGCACATCCACATCTGCACGTCCACATCCAGATCCCTTTTCCTTTGCAGCTAGCCTGCATCATTCATCCTTGTCCCATCGCCCTAATGCCACATCCTATATATCCACGCATCTCGTCCGGACCATATCCGATCCAATATACAATAAGCTTCTTAATCCATTTCCTGTGCATATAACGTTAACACGGCCTATCCAGTATTCCTTGTTCCCGGTACCTTGGTTATACTTACTACCAGTATGCTTACTGATCCATTAACCTATGCTTCATTTCCGACTTGCGTTTGTTAACTTTGCTTATGCTTCATACATAGCCTCGGACCTTTGCTTATTGATCTTTCCGATAGTCACTTAGTATATAAACTCTTGTATATGTCTTGTAGTCCCTCAGTCTGAATATCATATTAGTCCTTGCACTAGTCTTCACACTAAGTCCTTATACTAGTTCCTTCCTTGTGAAATCTTCCTTAGGCCTAAGGAGGAATTCCCTAGGCCGGAGCTCCGCTCCTCCAACCCTCTGATCCTATATTTCTCCAAGTTTCCAGAAGTTCGTCCGGATCTTTCCCGCGGTCCTCCGGACCTATTCTGCTTTGGACATTGTCCTTGCAGCCTTACCTCTGTTTGCCTCACTCAGGACTTGTCCTGAGTAGCCATTACACCTATCCATATCAGGACAAAACCTCATTGTAATTTCCGGAAGTTCCTCCAGAACTTTCCTGCACTCATCCGGAAGTTACTTGCACTTGTCCGGAAAGCCCTTCTGAAGTTTCCCGCACCTTCAGATATCCTTCGGACTTCCTAGGATCTTCTCCGGACATCAATCTGAAATTAAGGGCACATACTCGGGTAAGGGGCACAGCGCACGAGCTGAAGCCAAGCCCCTCAGAATCAGTCCTACCCTTTGTGCATGGTCTTAACAGATGCACATGCTCAGAGTCTCAGACGCACTCGAATTAACTTACCCAGGCAACAATCTCACTGTTCTCATTCATCAGACTGATTATCCCACCCTTCAAAACCCTCAACTTCTTCTTCTCTCAGCTCATTACAGTTGCTTTTGTCGCAGCACAGAAGGTGTTGTCAAATGAGATGCTCACACCTGCACATAGATTGTAAAGGTCAGTTTTTAAACCGATGAGTGTAGTAGAATGTTCTCACCTGAGAGTGTGCGAAGGTACTCTTCTGATTCACTTTCCCACGTTGCTGAGACAAAGTCCTGGAAAACCTCACTGACCATGTTGTTTGAGATAGGTCTGTCATTGTAGTTGTTTACATCATATGGATCTGAGAATAGTTGAAGCGGGTTGGGACTGAAAAAGTCCATTCCATGTCGCACTGTTCGACGGCTTTTCCAAGCTTGAAGATAACTGAGCTTGCGCTTGTGGTACTCAAGAAGATGCAGTTCTGTAAGGTGCATCAGATCACTAGCATTTGAGAGACAGACTAGTGCTAGTACTTACATCAGACATTTTCAGCAAGAGATCCTGCTGTGGATGATGGGCGCATTTCAACTAATAGATTGAACAAGTCCTGAGTAACCACGCATCTGTGGAAGAATACCGGTATGTCACCTGCCCCAGCCTGGCATAAGAACTCGGCAATCAGACTGAACACTAAGGAGCCCACCAGGAACAGACCAGTGGGGCTAGCTGCCCCAAAAGTCAGGGTTTGTTGTCACAAAGCAATATCCTTTGAGGTTAGTCTTGACATTGCATCCATTGTCTGAGTCGCTATGCTCATGCTCATGTTCCTTTCTTGTTGCATCATTTTTGCAATTCTCACAACAAAGCTGCGTACCTATCGCAGCCTTGTCAACCATCAAACCATGGACATCACGAGGACCTGTGCTGGTCCATCCATCCCACTGAATGTTGTCAGTACTGTTGCATCGCGGACACTTCACAAGTTCGGGATAGTAGAATGGATGGATGGTACAAAGTGCTTTCAGGTATAGTGTCTCGGGGTTGATGGCTGGCTCAGACTGATTTCGCTTCCATGCATGTAGGTACGATGGCGGCAGAAAACGAGGGCCAAGGATAGGAACCTTGCTGTCCAGGCATCAATGTGCAAGTCCCTTTGTTGACCAGCTGCGTGTCTTGTCTGAAATATAGTTGATATACTCGACTATTTCTGCCTCCCATTCATACTGGCGCCGTGGTCATGGATTTGCCATGCATGCAGTCGCATGTCCAGTCCATGACTCGACACATGTTTTGATGGTCAGGTCAGTTCCTCTTTGTTTTCACATAGTACTAGCATCCTTCTGCCTGCTTACTGTGCTGTTCCAACTTGCTTCAAATTTTTTCTGCAAGTTCTTCAGCTCCAGCACTGACAGAAGCCTGCACACAACATCTGGTTCATACACTGACATACTTGTCATGTTTCTCTTGTCTAGGAGGGCAATGAGATTGTATACTAGTGTGTATTGACTATGTACAGGGTTTTGTGGCAATTAGGGGCCGAGTCTCTTTCTCGTTCCACCACACTAGTGTCTAGCAATTAACTCTACCCGACTATTTACAAAGTCACCATCCCAAATAAATTTTTCTCGCTTCCAGTGATTGGTGGGGTGAAACAAAATGAATTGATTAGCTCAAGACTACTAAACAGTTCTACTAGTAGTTCAACAATGGCCCCGCACTTGCACCATGTCCCTTCCTCCACGTCTACTCAGGCTCAGGCTGGGGGGAAAACTACTGCTATGATCAAGGATGAAGAGAAAGAGAAAAGTGTCGAGGTATTCAGTGGCAGTGGTGCAGACACTGACGCCATCAGAGTCCGACTGGACCCTCAGATCCACCCTGTGGATATCGCACAGTTTACACAGTTTGGCTTTGACAAACAGGTCAAACAACTGGCAAACCACTTGGGCTTTCAGCCAGTCATGATCCGCAATGTGTACAAGCACGTCAGCAACTTCAAATGTACCAAAAAAATAGTAAAGTCCATGCACACTGCTGCCATGGAATGTGCCAAAGCAGAGATTGAAGGGCAAGAAGTAGAGGAGTTGTATGCCAGTGACAAGTCTGAGAATGACAGCACCGGAATCATGAGTACTGTAGAGATACGCACTTAGCTTCATCACAGTGTCACACGTCCGACGAATCAAAGCTATTTCGTGTGACCATCACACAAAATTGAAGTCATCGAAGGTAAATTGTGACACATGGTAAAACATGAAAAAAATGCAAAAATATTCCCAAAAATTCTTGTACTGAGTATTTGCCATGCATCTCACTTTACATGACCAAAATTCTCTTCATCACCATCAACTGTGAGCTCTTGCTGACAGCAGCTGGTAGTGGTGCTGATTCGAAGCTATTGCTGACATGTCACAGGTCACACCCGTCTTTGAATCTTCGAAGCTAAGGTTCAGTTGGTCACACCCAGATAATGTCGAAGCTAAGTGCGTATCTCTACAGTACTAAGAGTTAAATTGATGGGAACATGTACGTGACTCTCTGTGAGACAGTAGTATCCGTAATGACTGTGCAACAATGAACGGCAGGTAACCAATCACATAATGACAGAGTCGGCATCAGAGAGGCACAGGAAGCGGGGTCTGCCGTCAATAAACTCATGTATAATTCAAACAGAGAAGTACATACATTAAATTTGACCATCTTGAAAGCCTGAGACTCTCCAATGAATGCTTTTACTTCATGACCAGAGGTTGTGGTGCGAGAGATGGAGAACAAACCTAGATAGTATGTCAGTCATAGTGCACTGCGCTAGAGTACCTACCTACCGATAGGGATTAGCATGGGTATACCCCGGGGTATATGCATTGACACCCACACCCACACCCACCAAGATACCCACACCCACCAATATACCCACACCCACCAATATACCCACACCCACCAATATACCCACACCCATACCCGTACCCATGGAGGGTATACCCGGGGGTGTCATTGAATTAGTACTATGAAAACAGCAATTGTAGCTACCCTAACTGTATTTGGTCCCATCCTTCCTCAAGTTCTAGCTCCTCGTCACCTACAACATCCGTGAGGTTGCTAACAGCTAAAATGTCTTCGTTCTTTACCAGACCCAGCCGGCTCCAGTAACTCAAGCACAAGAGGGCGCGAGTGGACTGCACATTTAAGCGAGAACGGACATGCAACAGGATGAGGCAGCCACAGCTGAAGAGCCATTCAACATCCACTGAAGTAGCTGTGATCAATGTTAGAAATCATTCGAAACGAGTAGGTTGCTTTTACCTTCTTTGGCCGTGTGCTGTCCACACTGGCACTGTCATCATTCTTTCTCTTTTTTGATTTGGCCTCGAGCTTCTTGTCAAGTGCAGCCTTGGCTTTCCCAGTTAGTTTGGTAATCCGTTTAGCGGCAGAATAGAAGGGGTTTGGCTGCATGACAGTAGGATGTGTTCATGATTTAGAGTTTAGAGTTAGAGTTTGCAATACTATTTGTATGTCTTTGGAGCTTTGGAGTTGGTAAAATATATATCTGCTTACTAAACCCACACCCACAACCCATGTGGGTTTCATATACCCATGCTAATCCCTACCTACCGATGATGTTCAGAGCATGGCCAGGTCCAATGGGGCGGGGATGAGGCAGAAGCACTACAGCTAGCTGTGGTGGACTGGTTGGGTAGTGAGATTCAGTATGACGTGAATCAGGAGAATGCAAGGGCTGGGTGCAGAAGGGCATAGGCGATGGTCGCGACGAAGGTATGGGAGTGTGTTGTGAACCTGATGGAGATGACATGCTATGCTTGCTACCATCCACCCAAGATCGCTTCGTGTCCATCTCATCTGGGACCGGGCTCAGAGGATGCTTGAGGGAGCCTGACCCTTCGGGGGGTGAAGGACAGCTGCATGAAGAAGAGACAGAGCCACAATCTGTGGATGAAGATTGCTCGGGTAGATATTGCAAGAGGTTGAGAAGCGAGCTGTCGAAATATATAATCTACTGCACAAAGAGCCAATGTGTATAAGTTACACGCCAGGATGATAAGATAGGGAGGCAGAGTACATACCTTCAGGCCATTGACTCTCGAATTACCCCTTCACACCCCTTCACGAGATCTCCGGAATCCGACAGGGCAACCCCTTCGTATGACCATATTTTCGACCAATTCATATACGCGTGAAGTCACGTGATCTCAATCAGGCGTCCAATAATCCAGTGCGGGGCAGGACAACTACGGAAGATTCTTAGGACTGTCGGAGTATGTAGAGGGGTCGAAGATATGGCTTTGTTGAGCTGCTGAAGCTTTTGAGCGGTGCTAGGGTGTTGTAGAGAGCTCAGACGACGTCACCACCCATGTGCGTTGCACCTCGGAACAAAGTAGAGATCGGCGTGGGATTGAATCGTGCCGTTCTCCGCGAGATTTTTGATGCCGGCCTCCGGCTTCTCGGTGTGCCTTGAAATTTGACAGATTATCTCAACTCCGCTTGACTAACGTGCTTGCCTCATGACCACAACTGACACTTCTACCCCGTAGCAGATACTCGACAAATATTTCGTCACCTCTTTCTTTGGATCGCAAATATCGGACTGTGACCCTAAGTTAGCATGGGAGGAACATACTGAAATTTGTACTCTCCCCAGAAAAAGACGTTATCTGTGGAGAGTCAAATTTGGGGATGTTCGTGCGATCGATGGGCTTGGAATCCCTGTATGACCTTCTGCGAAGCTTAGTACACTCACTTATTATCCTTGCTTATGATTGTCTGACGGTTTACGATCGTTGCTTTGATTGCTTTATCGCGCGCACTTGAGCGATCGAGGTACTTAGTTACCTGAGCTTGTATGAGCTTAGATGGTCAAATATGTCAAACCCCGATTTATCAGTCCGTCTAACGACGACTTGCCTCATAGACGGGCTGACCCTATGTCGGGCATAGTAACAAGGCTTAAGCACACCGGCCTCACTAAAGTTTCTATGATCTACATAAATACCGTCCGCGATACTAGAATACAAGCTGTTGCCTTTTCGCGTAACGGTTATGCTAACGACACAAAGTTTACACATAGTCCTATTCGACTGTGGAGGTATTCCTAGCTTTCAAACATCAATACAACGTTACTTATACGCGTGCGCCCCTTGGCTCTTTCCTACATGATCTGATAGATATATGAAGACCAGAATTCCTCGTCAAGTCGTTTACTCACATGATCATGAATGTCCTCGGGAAGGCGACACCGGACCACTGTGGCATCACATCCTTTAATATGGCCTCGGGCGAGTCACGAGTGTCGATCATGATGTCGTCATCATCCATAATCGACGTCAGCATGAGTTGTTCATTCAGCAGATATTGCGAACTGTCTTCGTGCGATTGAAGGCTCCCGTGATCTGAGAGGCAGGGACTCATAGGGTGTTTATTTGTGGATAGATGGGTTCCGGTAAATCATGATAACCACGAGCCGTGTTTACGATGAAAGGTGAATTGGCTTGATATGCGCAGCGTGATGTCACAGAAGATGGGGACGTGCGTATGGGGACTGGAGACCGGAAGTAGTATATAGCGGAGAAGATAACAACTGGGCGTCGACGGCCTATGCACCTTGGCAAATAAGGTGCTGGGTCTTCAGGACGGTACACGTCATGAAGGATGGTGTATACGGTGGGGTCTTTGGGGAATAATCATACGTCTGTTGTGTATCGAGGTCATAAAGTACGGACCTGGGGATTTGCACAGGAATTCCCAATACCTGGGAACTAAAGCTGTGCTGTAGAGCAGTAGACCATCATCCGATGGGTTCGCAGAATCGGTGAGATATGGTCCAATACATTCGAGCTTCGTGTCCTCGCTGTGTATGGGCGCCACCAATAATACATATAGGATGACTTGGCAATGACGACAG